ATATTTGTATACTATATTTTGAATATTTCGCGTAAGTTCTGTGTATGTTTGCGTCTTCAAATTTGTTGCATAAATGCATACATTGAATGTATTAAATTTCCCATAAAAAACAATCCACTGTTATTTTTTATTCCGGGAATACAAAGATTCCATAGTTAGTTTTGAAGGAAATGACACGAATGCATATAGCCTGATAAAAGAGTTGCAACGTAGCTTGAGATAATTCAAGTACAAGCGTTCGAGGAAGTTAGAAATGCTCGATCTGAAGATCTATTTTTCTTTTGACTTCGTATGACGGTAAGTGACGTGAAGAATTTCTTCAGAAACTGACGGATTTTGAATATACGAATGCGACAATTCAACGATATCGTCGAAAAAGACTTGATCCCGATTCTACAATGGCTGATGTATAAAGCATAAACGCTACAAAGGGGACTGGAATCAGATTTCGCAGAGTGTTAACGTAACGTCCTAAGTGGAGTTTGGAACAAGCAATAGAGCTACAATATTTAACTCCATGTACAGGGTCCGGTTGAATAACAGGAATAAGCGGGCTTGAGGTGATTTCTTATGAAAAAAATAAAAAGAAACTATAATCTTGTCGTATGACACTTGATATAATAATATCTGATTTCAAACTGATTGAAGATTCAAATATTTGACAGAAGATTAGTCTTCTTCTTAGATAGAAAGTGTTAAAAAAATCTAGATTCAAATTTGTTCACAAGATGCTTTGATCCTGGGAGAAATGCGCGTATTAGGCCCATTTCTTCACTAGACATGTTCAAATTTATTTTTTTGAAAGTGAAAGCTTAAACGGCCAAATTTTATTCCATATTTTTTACCTTCTCGATTCTTCGAGTAGCTGGCATTGCTACAATACATGAACTATATCCTGCCCTTTGTAATCACTCTGACATTTAGGGTCACTTATTATACCTGTCCGAGCTAATGAGAAGACTCTGGTCTTGTAATAACCTGACCCGCACATACTAATTGTCGTTATAATTTTCCGTCTTAGATTTCTTTCCCTTCGTATCGTAATTTTGCCTTTCGACGATTAGAAATGTTAGAATAACGATGGAAGGATTGCAATAGGATAGAAAATATTTCATTCTTTCAGCCAAATTCAAATATACTAGACAAATTTTCAAATTCAATCTTTTCGAAAATTAAGTCTTGGGCGAAAATATGTCATTCTTTATTCTCTTCTTATTTTTTCATAAGAAAGCTTCTTACGTCCGTTTGTACATGTTATTCACTTGGATCCAGTATACGGTATACCTTTGTCATTCGAAGTATGCCACTTTATATAGCAAGTTACGAGGTCCACTGTTCTGTATCTCAGCCCTAGTCTTAGCTATATACCAGTTTGCTTGATCCTGTACAAATTTCTTCCTACCTATGAAAGCCGCATTCGTGTTTCTGACCCTTGTTCCTGATTTTGCAGTCGCAATAGATTTATCATTCAATACTAATTCAATACTAATAGGTTATCTGACGCCGCATCAAGTTTATCCACGCGGTGTACTAATATATCGCAGGGTTGCATTGAGATTGTCGACAGTTCCATCGACATCAATTCACCGATACAAGCTGTGATCAATAAGAACTGTTATCAATAATACTTTCGATCGACAACAGCTTCCACTGACATTGATCGATATTTTTTCGCAAACACTGCTTCAGTCTGCATAGATCTAGCATAAGACAGCCAACCATTCATTTTTAATTCATTTTTTTGTACTAGTAAACGCAATCATTTTTTCGTATCTATAAAAATTTTCTTATAAAAGCTTTCACTTCTTGTCCTATGTATTACACCTTATTGTATTTTAAGAACGTAAGATATAGCACTAGAATTATGGAAAAATGTATTATTATATGGCCAATAGCCTATTTCGCTAAAAAAAAATTGTGCATTTTTTACTACTTCGATCTAGCTGACCGAAAGTGAACATAGTGTCCAATAATAATTATTATTATTATAATTGATTATAGTGCATGCGTGGAATAAGAATTCTTGCTTTTGAAATTACCATACATATTCGTATCGATGCTTTATATTATTTCAGAACTGTATGAAAAGTTTAGTGTAAAGGAAACTTTTAATTCCTCTTATTTTCTCCTTCACAAAAGTTTACTTCGTACAAGCTGCAGCGCAACACTCGTTGCCGTAAGGTGACTAGTATGACACTTCATTAAAAATGCATTCAACCTACCTACTTGATAGATCTACAGGGATAGATCAAAATTTGCCTGATGAAATTTTTGATCACAAGCTTATTATTAGAAATTTACCTGCACGCAAATTTATTTATTTAAATATTGTCACGCGCATAAACAGAATCGCGCTTATAATAGTAGCTTATAAAAGTATATTTTCAACGAAATACGAAAAGTACTATTTACTTTTTTCGGAGACTTTTCCAACGGATATGAACGATGCTGGCTTTTCTGGATATATAAAGTTCGCATTACGTTTAAAAGAATCATTTATGAAAAATAGATTCGCTTGCCGTATGTAATCTGAATATAACATGATTTTTGCAACATGACATTTTTCTTGAACCTATCTCTCGCATTACGGTAGTTGCGCGCTGGTTGAATATTAAATTAATGTCCACCTCGTCCATGGATTTTTTTTGTTAACATGTGCTGACTTTCGCTTTAATACAGCCACCACAGCGCATACTAACCTGCTGCACTAATCCTAATGTTTTATTAAATATTACTCGATGAAAGTTTTCTCTGAAAAAAATTGAATCTTTTTAAGCTTGTGTCCGCGCTCCACCAATTATTGTTCAAATTATTATACTATTATTATAACTACGATCTATATTCATTTTATTTATTCATATTGCTATCTGTTTAATGAAGATACTGTTTAAAATGCTGGCCTTCTGCAGCGATGCAAGCATTAAATCTAAAAGTGCGTTCAGACTATCGATATTTCGAATTTCTCAACATTCCCGTAAGTAAGAGATTCTCAGACGATCGATATAGTGTATATATATTGTCGATACAATGTTGTAGGATGTATTATTTATTTAAAATGGATTAAATAGGAAACGGTGGTTATTTAACGTGAACTAAATACAGTAATGTGCTATAACTAAGACAATTAAATAGTTAATTTACAACTCTCGTAACCACGGTTCCAACGCTCTCTTTCACGCGGACCACTCTTTCTCACAGACTTCTCAACTAACGACGGACTGTTAATTCGTCTTTGTCCCTTAAGCATCCCTTTGTCTTTTCTCATAGCCCTATCACGTAGGCCTTTTTTCCGCGTAACCATTCGACCGAAGGACCCACGATACATTGATGGGCCTGTCAGCACTTAGGCTTTCTCGCGACATTGTTTATGGTTCACCAGATATTTCTTAGGCTATTTGTCCACGATACTACAATATTGTCTCGCTTTATGTGGAATTTCAATTTTGCATTGCTTTCTTCTTCATTGTTTCAATTCAATCATCTAAATAAAATTTGCTCACTTTTGTAACTGTGGTGAATTGGTTTATATCCGAATCCGTATGTATCTGTGAAATAGAAGTATTTTTTATCAAGTTTCCGTGAATATTCGAAATATTGACAATATTTCTCTTGACGTCAACCCGTCCTGTTAATGTTCGATGATATTTATAATATCGTATTGACAATACGTATTGATCCGTTTTACGTACGATAATGTTGAGAACCTTGAATTTTTGACAGAGAACACGTTTACATTGATCAGTTAAATCGTAGCTGTACATTGGTTTGGTGATATTTGTTGTTCTGCACCTACGGCTCGATCTTTCAGAATAAATGAGTGTAAATAAGTACGTGAAAAAAGTGAGAACCTTTTTGATTGTTTGTGGGGATTTTCTTCAAAATGAAGCGAAAACGTGCAATTATCTAAAGAACATATGTTTTTTTTTAATTTATCGGTCTCCTTACACGTTCCAGAAGTTTGACATTAAAATTGGGAACACCCTGTATATAGCAATATCAATAAAATTTAATGAAATTAAAGACAAGCCCGTAAATAATTTCAAAGGCACAAATAATGTTAGTATAATATATCTGATGATTTTAATAAAGGACTAAATAAATCAACGTATTTCTTCTTTATTGTATATTGAAGTACCTTTCTGCTCTCATAATTCGCAGTAATTAAATTTCAACATTCTGAAGTTTTTCTCATGCGTGTTTCTATGCTTCGTCATAATCCGAATGGATGCACAAAAAGTCGTCGGTAGCTGGCGTACGAGGATACTAAAAATCAGTATGTATGGCGACGCTGTATCTCACGAGAATCGTCGCCTGACCGCTTCCATCGGCGACAATATACAATCAGTATCCATCATACACGTATTGCGATACATATGTCATGTTTATGTGCGAAATAAAGGATTATCCTGCATACGTAGAAATATACCAGCAATGAGTTTACTTACTTATATGGAAATACTTCATCTGAATTCTGAGTGAGAGTTATTTTCTGCCTTACATGATCAAAACCTCTTCGTAATCAAGTAGTGTTTGAAACATATACGTCATTTTTATATTTTTACAAAATATCATATTTACGCGTTTTTTTCTGACAATGTTATCCGTATCATTCACATTGTTGAAAATCTGTTACTCTATGATATTTATATTGTTTTAATCATCCAAAGAAATCTAGTAACATGAGTCAGACACATTACAGACAATCAGACAAAGGTCGTACGAAGAATGACATCCTCTAAAAACAGTCAAATCAAAATATCTGTACGTAAAAAAATTACCAAAAGATTGTTAGACAAAATCCGTGTTGAGTATGTCTGTACGAAATGATGTGATGACATGTCACTTATATGAAAGTATATCTCAACTATTCACTTGATGCCCGTGTTTTACAGATATGTATATTCAACAATTTCAGTGAATTCTTTGATTAAATTTTATAATAACGATAAAATGTTAGTTTCCATAGGATTTTAATTAATCACAGGTTTATATGTTTTCAGCACATCAACGGATGCGCACGGTCACCAACTATTTTTTAGTTAACCTTTCCGTGGCTGACCTGATGATGTCATTACTTAACTGTGTTTTCAACTTCATTTTTCTACTGAATTCTGACTGGCCATTTGGCGTGGTATACTGCACTATCAACAACTTTGTAGCGCATGTCACGGTCTCTTCAAGTGTCCTCACTCTCGTCACCATTTCCTTCGATAGGTAAGTTTCGATCGACAAAGTTATCCAGTAGTTGAATTTATTATTATTTGTGACATTCTTCCTATGCATGAACTTATGCAGATACGCCATTTGTTTCTTGAGAATTAAATATTAATCGTACGCCTATGTAATGAAATTAAGGAATTAGTAAATAGTGGAATTGGCCAGTTTGGCTTCTGAGAGATTCGTATGTCATTACATTAAAATATCGACTATTATTAACAATTTCTCGATAATTATGTGGTCGATCGATTCCAGATTTCACATAAGGATTACTTGTACCCCAAGTTAGTTTTGCTCGAAATTTGAGAGTAGTCTTGAATTTCCAGCTGTACCCCGTGAAGCTGAACAAATTTAAAGAAGTCATAATTCCTTTTGAAATCCTAACGTCGTCCAAACTTTTCAACTTGCATATAAATGCATATGTATGTATATTTGATCACAATGATTAATCTGCATATAATTTAAATAGTATTACGAAGACAATGATTTTATGTGTGAATTATAAACGTGTCCAGAAATAAATTATGAGAGCAATTTACGTAAATCGAACAATAGTCTCTCTGTCAGATGCAAAGATTTGATTACGTACCATTTGCATTCTCCTCTCAAATTTTAATTATTTTCTTAGCGTAGAGGTTCCACCTCTGCAGAATGATTAAAATTAAAATATGTTAGAAATTGTTTTAGAAGCTGTTAACGTACCAGAAAGATTTTATAACCCTGTCAACGAAAATAATAGGAAATGAAAGGAGGGGGCAGATGCAATTTCATTTCCAAAGAGGAGTTTTTTTCTATTTGGTCAATACATTGCTATGCTACAAATACTGCATACTTAGCTATGGAAAAAAATTTAGGGCGATAATTAAAATTATATTTTGAAGCAATTAGGGTGTACAGGGATTAGAAAGGGACATCCTGTACAATACTAACAATTGTCTTACAATCTCTAACTATTTTAGCTCGGACAAGTTTTAAATTTATCTCTACGGATGCCGGCTGAATGGAAGAAACAATTATTACCCGTGCTGGCACGTAGCTATCGACATTTCAGAATCTGGAATTATTGATTGTACGCGTCTTTCTATCTCAGATTGTTTGTGTGTGTTGGCGATTCTTCGTGAAAAAGTTTCAAGCGCGCACTTATATTTATAACGATACAAATTAATATCTTTCAGAAAATAAGGAAGATTTTTTCAATGTTTTTTATGATTTAGACATATTGCTACAATTAAGATGATCTACAAGCAGAATGCAGTTACAGTGATTGCACTTGGTTGACTCGTTTTTAGCTGTAAGATGAAAGTATAATTAATATATTCAATTGTAAGTTTGGCGAGAATAACTTACTCTTCGCTATTGAAAAGAAGTGGCCGACTTTTATCAATGTATATTTATACGTATCTTATATATGTTGGATGAAGGTACAACAGATCTTTTTACCAAAATATCACGTATATTATACAGACCTGTTGAAATTTCATTATGCTAATGAGACATAGCTATGATGTAAATTCTGGAAATTAATATATAGAGTTAAACCTGGAATCGATCCGATAATGTATATGGAAGTTGCAAGATACATATTCCGGCAAGGACCACATGGCACTTCGGATGAAAGAAGGAGGCATTGGAAAATGATATACTATGTAACTTATGCGAAGAAACAGAGGGGTGTCTGACATTTATTATATACCTATGGAGAAATCGATAGAGAATAGGAAAAGCAAGCGCATTAGCAAGTACATTAGAGAGTTGAGGGGACGGGATGGAAATAAAATGGATTAGAGAAATAGAAAGACTGAGAAAATAAGTGAGCAATAGATAGATAAAACTCGGATCGAAAAGAAACACAAAGCAATATACGGCAATAGGTATGCACTACGATGCAATATAGTTTAAAGGGGGACGATGCAATCGTCAAATTCGTTAGTGTTCACAAGTAAGTGAGATGATTGAATTTAATTATAGGTATTCTGATAGCCAAGCCATCCAACCACATCCTCGTCATTCTTCGATTTCCTAACCGGCCTTTCTACTTTTCTTCTCCAATCTCTCGATATTTTTCACATGGCTTTACGCGACCCTTAACCGATACTACCCTATCTTCTTGTAGCTTCTTTCACCTTCTACGTTTCCTGTTCTTCCTTCCTTTCACTTCCACTTGGCCACTTAACTGACAACTGCTAACTTGATTTTAGTTAGGCCTTATTAACCAGGCTTTTAAGAATCAGTTTGCTTTCACTTTTTGCTTTCTCTGAATTTTCTGTGTTCTAGCTCTCCTCTGTTACGTCAGCTAGTTCTTTTCGTTTTACTTCGGTCTTCATTTTCTGTCTTTTAAAGGATTTGTCTCTTCGCCCGCGCAGACAGTATGTAATTGATTTCCACTAACTAACTTTGTTTCGTCGTCCCATTGTTTACGCGTACTTGTATACGACTTTAATTATGCAATAATTAAGATGAAAAGATAGATTTTTACCTACTTTCTCTATCAGTGTCACCTCAATGTAAAAGTAGTATCTGGCACTATTCACGAAGCAGTAAGTGGTAAGTAGCTCGCGATCAAATTTTTTTATGAATATATTACGTGCATTGTACGAAACATTTTGAAATTTCGTTAGCACCGTAATGAGACACGCCGCGATTATGATAGTATAATTTGAAACCAATCCGAATATGTATATAAAAGTTACAAGCAGTTAATGAAAAATTAGTATACAGCATAAATAGTAGTCTTAAACGTACAATTAGAACTAAAGATGATCTTATTAAATATTGTGGCTTTTTAATGTGGCGAATAATTGATTATTCAAATATCTTGATGACGTTCGCAAAGCATATGCTTCCAATAAATATCTTCTAATTTCTATGTATATTTTCAAATTCAAAATGTAATCACGATAGTCGTGTCTCGCTACAAAGTTAATGAAACTCGCTGAATAAAAAGCTTTCCGGAAGTGTTCCATTCAAATACGTTTCTTAGCCATGATGTATTATGTTGTTATACCTGAAAGAGCAAGCTGAAGCACTTTCATATTCGCGGACGAGATATCCTGTGACAAAACGTTCACACGATACTATACGCGAGACATATCGTGTCGATTTTTCATTATCTATAATTAAATGTCGGTAAAAAGTAGGACAGACTGTTTTTGTACATCCACAAATGATAATAATGCATCATATGAATATCTTGTTTGTAAATACAGAAAGGGTAAGGTTAGCTAACAAACAAATTTATAGCTTGGATGTGAAGATAATGGAAATCAGGTTTGAAAAAGTATTTAAGTCGCTGATAAATATAAAAGGACCACCACAATAGAATTACAAATTTATAGGAAACATATCATAGATATTTTCGAGAAAATGGAAACAATTTTTTAATTTCGAAATATCAATAATTGTATGAGTTATTGAAGCGTTTCAGATTGTTTGCCGATAAAAAGGATATTTCTTTGTCTGATGAAGATGTTTTTTTTCTGTGTTTCTGTGAATAAAATCGTTTATATCTACATTTAATTTTTTCACTGTTCTAGTCTTTCAAAAAATTTGAAAAAATTCTGGGATATTCGTCGAAGTATTCGCTATATTATACTGTCAGTTTTTAAGTCGACCGTTTAAAAGGTTTCTTAGCAAAAATTAAGATTTGCTTAAAAATAATAATCAATAAACAAATTAATTCCGTGGTGTAATTATCTTTGGATAAAATTATTTTCTGTATTTTCTTCCCAGCACGTTCGAAAGCTATCAAACACAAATTTTTTTATAATCAATCCGAATAATATAACAACCAGGCTAGTCATTATATGTACATATGTATAATTACTACTAGCGACTACTAGTACAACATAAAACTGACACATAAAAGTGACACATGAAAACGACAGATCTCCGTTAATGATAAGCGATGGTTATGAATAATAGCAAAGTTTATAAATCCTCTGATTGTCTGTTGCAGATATATGGCCATTATGAGACCTCTGAAACATCATATGTCTCGGAAAAAGACGATAATGATTGTTTTTCTAATATGGGTCATCTCTTCAACTTTGGCTGTACCATGTTTGTTATATTCAACAACAGAGTCTAGAAGGTAGTATTTTTAAATTATTTATATATGTTCATTTAGATAATTAATTACGCAATTAGTAAAATAGAAATGATTAAAAAATAAATCAACGAACTTGTCGTTGTAAGATCTTTGAAATGATGCATCAATATATTTTATTTATTATATATATATATGCTGAAATATTCGCAGCAAGACCATTATTAATGAATTCATGTATTTAACTCTACGGCATGGGCTACTGGCAATATGCTCCACTCGTTATTCCAACCATTATTCCAACCCGTTATATCAATATATCAAATGTTTTCATAAACAAATTGTAAATTATCTTAAGGGAGATAAAAAACAAATGAATTTGTGGCAATACTTGATTACTGAACTAAATACAGCAAATAAATAAATGAAAGAGAGATAGAGAGAACAGTTGCTGACAAAACATTTGAAGTTTTTTTTTTACTTTATTTTCTCTCAGTAAAAAGATTGTAGCAAATTGTAAAGATTTTCTTAATTGACACTATACCATCAATTTAAATTCCTACTCTTTTTCACATTCAATTTAACACTTTACACCTAATACAATGTTTTGCTTTCATATTTTTTCTTTTATGTCGATGTCATTTACTTTCACACATCTGTGAATGCATTTCACTATATAACATAATACGAACATAACACATTTTGTTTCTCATCGTCTCTGTATAAAAAGCTCTTTAGAGTAAAGTACGTTGTTACGTACGTAACCGACCAGCCTAATTAAAACCTTTCTTGTTCTCCCTTGTGTTTTTAAAATATTTCGTAAACATTGCAACAAAGGCCACCCAGGCCTAATGAAGCCAATCGGGTATAAATCGAACGCTGCATTCGAAAATGCAGAAAATCTCGAGAGCCTGAAGCCACAGATTCACCGAGGCTAAGCCGATCCAATTTAAACCACGCTAAAATCTCCAAAGTTCCTAACAAAGACCCCTTGTATCTGTTTCAAGAGGCAGTGTGTAACACACAGTACTTCAGGCAAGAGCAAAACCAACATCTGTGCTTCCTATTCCAACCAAGTTCCTTTCTAAAAAATCGTTAAATATATGTAAGCTCGATCGTACATATATCGTATATATATGGTAAAAGGTTAATGAATTCGTCTTCAGAAACACTATCAGATGAGAACCGAAGAGAAATATAACAGTTTTGTTCCAAGAAACGAACTTAGCCTTCGTTCCTCGGAAGATAATAATATAAAAGGGATATCGTTAAGCGATAAAGGACTGTCCTGAGTCTAGAGTTACCACGGGCATACTATTAGGTTGTCCGAAAAGTTTCTTTCGTTTCATACGGTGATAATAGATGAACAACAATTTCTGTTCTATATTATTTTATTGAATTAGGTATGATCGATTTCGTTATATCTCTATTATTGTGTTCGTGTATAATTCAATAAACTAATATAAAATAAACAACATTTTGCGTCTATTATTTCCTTATAAAACGAAAGAAATTTTTCGGACAACGCTATATTACCAAAGTTTTTGACACAGACCCTCCGTATCTATTTCAAGAGACAGTGTTTAACATACGACACTTCAGACCAGAACAAGACCACCATCCGTGCTTCTTATCCCAATGAAGCTTCTCCGTATTATTGTACCATCGACTTGTTATCCTTTTCTGACACCTTTCCTGGTGTCCTTTTCTATGTCGTTGTGCAATATCCAATTAAGACACGATATATATTTCGAAACGATATAAGAAACACAAGTGTTGAATTCTGAAGTCTTTTATAACGCAGAGCGCGGTATTGGAATTAAAGAGAGTGTTGGACAATAAGGTCCCATAATAAATTATGTTTTAAGTAAAGTAGGATTTTCTATGAAATGTGCTGGTAACATGATTCTTTGAAATTGGACTGAAAGTTTTGCACAGACGTATTATGCCGGACAATAATTATGCCGTTTCTCGTAGAAAACAGTAAACTGTACAGTAACGCAAAATAATAGATAAGTATGATACTATTAGGATTTCTCGAGGATTTTTAAAGTTTAAGCATCGAAGTGTTGCGGTTGGTTTATATTCCCGATGCCTTCGCGTGTCGCTGAGAAAGCAATTGTCTACACGTGGCTAAGCACATGACACTTTGTAGAAAATGTCTCGAAGACGTTCAATATTTTTTCTCCTTCCCACTGTTCCATCATTCCGAGGACAAGAGACGTTTGGGTAGTCGGTTAAGGATATACAAGAAGTACATGATACAAGAAACTTTTCTCCAAGTCATATTCTCTTACAATGTTTCAAGACAACGAATGTATTTTAACGTGATCCATATATTTCAATTTCGTAGTATCTAACATCGGATCATATTTGACCTCGAAATAAGCTTGATCTGAGAGATATAAGTTAAATCAATCAGGAAGAATCAATAAACGAATTAAAAAATTATTACTACTTATTGTACAAATAAAGAATCATATATATAATATTATCAGAATCAGAATATATATATGAATGCAGAGATAGTACTATGTTTGAATAATAATGTCACTGTATTTAAGAAGCCAACAAGCTGAAGAGAGATAGCAGCCTGCAATTCCCACAAAATTTCATTTCTTGCTGCAGATAATATAAATAATATTAGAGGAGGATATTTATCGCGAGTAATCAACCACTGTAGCATGAAAGCATGAAAGAATGTAATTAAGTGTTGAACATCTATGTCATCAGAAATGGAAGAAATAGTTTAATATCCTATATACAGTGCTATTAAGTACTTGCATGATTACCGAGAGTCGTCATTTGAACGTCTAATTTAGTTCGAATAGAATAATTTCTCCAAATAATATTCTCGTTGATCCTAAATTTCTTAGTGTGAGTACAAGATTATTTAAGTCATATTATAACAGGTCGATGAATTACATCTATCAAGTTAAAAATATATGATAACATTTAAACTAATATTGGCTTCGCCATCGGCGGCTTCAAACAATTCTGAAAACTAATAATTTGAGAAAGAACTTCAATTGTTATATATGCTCAGTCAAACAGTAGAACTTTATTCTACAAAATTCTTTTATACGACAAACGAGGGAGATATTAAGTATTCTATTTCCCGTAGCTCACTCTGTATATAGAATAGTCGATAATAAAAGAACGTTTCTACAAACAAGAATAAGATAAACCGGAAAGATAAAAGAGCTACGTTCGAAGTTTTTTTTATTATACTTATTGATAGGTACCTACTTAAAAATTAAGAGAAATATTCCTGAGATCGAGCACTTTTATAAATAAAGATAAAATAAAGGCGAACATAAGACAAACATACAAAATATGCATTAAAGATTTCATTTATTACTTAATAGCCTTAAATCTCTGATACTGAGCAATCATTACTACATAAACGAATGTAGGGCAGCTAAGGCGACGATTTCAGTTGATCGTTAAACCCAACGATAGATGCTTAGAGGCTTATGCAAGTCGTAGAGAAGGAATCTATGCCATTCTACGCCATTAAAAGGCCCCACAGTTTACAAAAGATATAGCAGATTTATACTTCATGAAATTCCGAGTATAGAAATTTAATGTTCCTTCTAGTACGTGAAGTTGCCTCCATAGAAGTAATTGGAAGAGTAAGGCAACAAACGCAACGGATTCTATACAGATAAAATGCTGAAAAATAGTTTTGACACAATGTAATATTAACATAGACATGTTCATACACAAGAGTTAAACTAGACATACAGATGGTAAAAAGTGCAAACGCTTGTAAACGTTTTTTAAACACAAGGATAAACACTATCCATTTTCATACTCTTGCTTAAAGGCGACCATCCAGATGCCGTAACTTCTTTTTGGTTAGAATAATGTTAGAAGGACAAAGCCAGTTCGACAATAAAAATAAAATATCAGCGTGATAATTTAAATTTACTTCAGAGCAAAGTGAAAGCAGAAGACAAGGGTGAAAAAGTGTAAACGCATATTAGGGAAATAAAGTACAAGTGAAAAATAGATTGGTAATAGATGAAAGAATGGATGAATGAAGGAATGAATGAATGGACAAATGAAGGAGTGAATGATTGGACGAATGAAGGAATGAATAAATGGTCGAATGAAGGAGTGAATGAATAGACGAATGAAGGAATGAGTTACTGGACAAATGAAGGAACGAATGAATGGATGGATGAAATGAAATGGGAAGAATGTCTATATAAAGAGATTTAAAGAGAAAGAGAAGTGATAACGAAAGAATCGATATATACTTATGCTATTGTAGTTACTTATTTAATTTCATTTCGTGCTTGTTTGCATCTGAATTTCAGTTAGGATCAAATATCGTGTGCATTATATGTATAATGTATATGTATACACGATCTTTGTTGTCTTATTCTACTTAGTGATTAATTATATAAGCAAATTCGTGAACTAAGGGAGACATTGACTTCGCTCGGAGTTTCATAAGATAAGTTTTGATATTCCGGATGTTGATTTTACGGATCTGTATAAATAAGCAGATCTAATATACGATCTGCGATGTATCATCTGTATCCTCCTATTGTTTGTCAAAAACATTTTTGAATAATAAAATTTCCTAAAATTAAATACATTATACATATATATATATAAAAGTTATTATAAAAGTGTCATCTTTTTGTAATGTCAAATGTACTGTTTAATTATAGGTATTCGAATGGCAAGACTAGGATTTCGTGCTATCTGGTTTGGCCAGACGGAACTTATTTGTTCAGCAGAATGGAATACTCGTAAGTGTAGTATGTATTAATCATTACAATCTTGTGCATTAAATTACGTTTCTAAGATATATAGATATAGCAGCACCATTCTTTAGACTTTTCGGTACAAGCAGTGACTACAAGCGTTCATAAATCAGCACTTGTAAGATCTCGCGAGGCTGTAATCATTCATTATTGAATATGCAATGAATTCGACGAGTGATTAAATAGTCAAGTATACGTAAGCTTGCGTAACTGATTGTAGCCTTTTCTTAGGCCCCAAGCAGCATGACAGTTACTCAAGTTATAATGTTCTGAAAAATTGTATTATAATATTCCTTCATTTTGCAAGATTTCCTCCGCCACTCAAGAAGTGCGACTCGTTGTCAGTCAGCCGTTGAATTTATCATGCTTTCCCGATTGTATTGTAGCATAGCTGCAATGGAACTCATTCGGGGAACGTACGGAAAACAATTTGATTCTTCGAGTTGGTTCTTCAATATTCATGGATTGTGATTTAGTACAACAATTCATTTAAACAGAATTAATGGATTCTTGTGACACATACATCGACGTGCGTTACGAGAAATAGCACGAGTCATTTGTTTTACGGAGGGTAGAGCACTTTGGTATCTTCTTTGCGTGAATCCATAGCCAGTGTAGTCTACCACCTTCATCGATTCAGAAAAGACTGAAATCATGTTAATCATAATAATGTGTCGACCAATGTAAACCCAGCCAAACGTATATTGACATAGTCTAAAACGAAAAATAGTTTAAAATCATCGGCAGCATACCTAACAAACGTTTAACCTGGAAGCCTCCAAGAACTAAGAAAAGCTGCAAACTGAGCATCTTCCGACTTCTCAACTCAACAATCATCGACTTTCTATTTGGCTAAAGCTGGAAGAGGAGCCGGTCAGACGCAATATTGGATATCTCTTTGGCTAAAGGAATGAGGAAAGGAAGAAAAGAGGAATACAAAGGAAGCTATCTGCTGTAGTCTACGACCCTTCAATTGGACGAAGAGGATATCATCATCTAGTTAACACCAAAGGATAACATAACAATGATAAAGCTAACAATAAGTAGTGTAGCTGAAACATTTGCCTATTCATTCTTTCTCCACCGATTCATCGAGCTTGGGCTTTATTTAAATAAAATATTTGGGAAGTGATTATTTAAATAATATATCATCATATTTAGTTAGATGTTATCTTTAAATAATTATGCGTTACTTTACTTGGGTAAACACGCGATGTTTCTTCTTGGATACGCGATTTACCGTTTGATTTTTTTATTAAAATTCACATTTGTCGGTGGGAAATTAACCCAGCTGGAGAATCGTCGTGTGAACGCTTCGATTGTTATAGACGTATCTATCACGCACCTATCTCGATTTTCTCCAAAGAGGAGATAGTTATTTGCTTTTCATATTCATTCATTTCTCCTACAAGTGCTACGTATTACATATTTGCTACCAATAATAACTAGTAACAGAGTTGTGCAGAGCAATTTTTAAACGAGGTAAAAGTGTCGATTTCGCAGATAAATAGTTAATATATAATAAGATAAGTATAATATATAATAGATAATATAATTTGGATAAATTCCACGTTAACCGACCTCGCGTAATTTCATTCCATTAATTTATTTTTATTATCTATTTCTTATTATCTATTTAAGGCAACAAATTTGAATAAGTAAACGTTTCGAATTACCATGTTGTTAAAATCATTTTATTCTCCTGATCGTTCGATGGCTTTATAATTTTGACTCGCTTGAACGTTAAAGTTAAAACTGACTGCAGTGTTCAGATATAATTGATCGATGACAGCATTGAATTGACCCACTACTAAAAAGAAGCTACTATGCGAACATTTTTCGTTCACTCGCGTTCACATTCTATTGTGCAGTATTGTGGAGAAGTAATAAAACTTGTGCAATATCGCAAAGTATATTCGGACGATTCCTGTCAGTGTTATGGAATTTCCCCGGGGTTTGGATTTTATATAACTACGTGTATTGCTCCACGCGACTCTTTTAATTAATTCTTAGAAAATGCTGGATTTATATCACGTTTTCAGTTTTTCACGAAGATCGCGAAAAATTCCGTAAATATTGTAACAAACGATGAATACATACGATCAGCCGCAAAAGTCTACATGCCTATCGAATTTTGCGTATCTTGCGACTTATCAAAGAAAAACGCGCTTCGATACAATGTTATTTGTACTTACATATCGATACAATTATTATTTGTGTATTTTTGATACCTACGCCTTAGATACTATTCACACGTCATAATTTGCGAGCTGTTATCGATAGTATTGATTTGATATCGACCCGATCACTAATTTCAAAGATTTGCCTGTAAGTAACTTATAGTAGTTGTAAAAAATAAGCTTAAACCCTTAATTATAGGGTGCAACAGTTCATATATCTAAATATCATGAAATTATTTTAGTATTTTCAATGAAGTATTTATTTTGTTACAGTTATAACATCGTATTTTTGAGCGTAACGTATTTAGTACCTATGGCGTTGATGGCAATATGTTATACTCTAATGGGCCGAAAACTCTGGGGCTCAAAATCCATAGGAGAGCTAACGTATTACCAAAAGAAATCAATAAAATCTAAACGGAAGGTAAGAACTGTAAAGTATATATAATCGATGATAATATTAGAAAAATAGGACTATAATATAATTACAGTGGGTATGAGTATTTTTAAAAAGTGTGCATATGTAATAAATAAATAAATAAATAAATATATATATATGTCGGAGATGAAAGGACATCGGAGCCTTTCTTTTGGAATGTTTGGGAAGGTCCCCAATACTTTAGCTTAGACTTTTTATTATAGCTGTACTTAAATAACGAAACTTGGAAGTAGTTGTTTATGATTTAATCCTATTATGTTTGGCTGAGATTTATGACAGTAGGCTTGGGCTCGAAGTGACACGACTGATCGTTAAACGTAGCCACGGTCACGGGATGGACGTCTTTACCTAGCAGAGGTATGGAGTAGTCGTATAACTCTCCTTAAAAATATAGTTGTAGCGGCACACGTGTTCAAAGACAAATCAAGGCACGTGTGGTTTTGCCTTGGAGTATCAATATCGTAGGACACGCACATATTGTATTAATAATCAAACTCCGGGCAGAAACAATGTCGCCGCTACGTGGAACCGTCTAACAAAGGCGATTAGAATTTTATCGGTACCCCCTCGATCAATATAATATAAACGAACGCGATCGTAAGGAGAGCAGAGTTTCATCAGTCACATTTACGTGCGATCTCATCAGCGAGTTACTCACCGTCTTTACGATCAGTGAATACTTGACGTTTTTAACAAAGAATCTGATTTAGACTTTGGAAGAAAGCGCATTTGCAATCCCGTTGACCGTGGATTCGTTATTGAACCTAAGATCATTGTCATTAGCACGTCGAGTATCTAATCACCACGGTTACTTGTCAAATTCAGTAACAATCATATTTGTATGAGTAAATATCTTCTCTATTGTATGACAACAATGAAGATTCGTTACACGCCCCTAACCCTAATGAGAACTCGACATATATATACCATATATGTGAATTTGTTTGTAGACGTTTGGAATGCGTGTAGATTTCTTTTGCAAACAATTGTTACCTGTAAACGTGCAGATTATTCATGTAGATCGATCGATGCATTGGCGACAGCATTTTTCATCGCATTTAACATCGTAACATTTAATTTTTGCAAAATATTATATTGCATCTGCGCACTTTTTTCTGACGATGTTATCTAAATCATTGACGTCGTTGAAATTTTGTAGAGTCCTCTGCACTTTTGTTGGACTCTGCTCATAAGCTTCCAAACCGCGTACCATACTTCCCAGTAGGCACTGACCTATCTACTATAATAGTACAGGCTTATCGGAACATAAAATCTAGATATGTCAAATTCTTTGTATCTTTGTATCAAAAACTTTGTATCGTAGAATTAGTTCACGATATGAATGGCGATGAGTTTAACGTGCAACGATTGCTTTAACTGACTTTCTTATACACAGTCGAAATGTATGTATCGTCGTATGTGGAAATCCATTATTGCTGTAAAAAAATCACAATCTGTTTCTACAGCAACGAGTGGTATAATACCGGGCTGAATAAGAGCGAGTCCGTTGCATTCGAATAACAAATATCCGATAGCGTGGAATCACCTCGCGAGCGACGAGAACGTGGGAATAACACGAAGCAAACAAAAGCCAACAGTACGCGCCAGGTGTCATTGATTTCAAGAAAACCTTTGCAAAACTGCTCTTTATGCAATTGAAAAAAGAGTTGTAAAAGAAGTCGTAGAATTATCGGGAGGTTAGCGATAAAATTATATTGGCTCATCCCAGAAGTATTGCAGTTACTTTGAAAGTTAAGTTGAAAACAATCGGAATTGTTACTATCAGAGTTTGAAGAAATTGGAATAGAAAAGTTAATAGAGAAAGATGCCGAATTATGGAAGATACAAAAAAGTTTATTAATTAGTAATTGAATTTGTAATAATTAGTAATTAAATAGTATTAAGTAATTGATCGATCGTCAAGATGCTATCGTTTATTTTCATCGAGTATACGAAAACCAATGATTATATTGTTTATGGCTTATAGGCAGACCTAATGCAAAAGAGCCAAGTTATACTACAAGACCTCAATAAGCCAAATTCTCGTTACGCTTTACTTGATGGACTTCAATTCTTTAAACAACACTTGTGCGCCAGGTCACGCCATTAAATTGTAATTTCTCATTAAATAGTAAATTTGAGTAAATATTATATTTTGTGGCTGTATGGAGAAAGGATCGACGTTCACTTTCTTTTTTAAATTATACCGCGTGAGTGAGGATACGCGGGATGTACAACAGGATTTGACTCAGCACAGTAAAATACGAGAAAAGAAATTCATATAAATATATGATACGACCTCATTTTCGAGTAACGTCGTGTTTTTGACGGTGACATATGATTTCATGTTAGATTTGACTAGAATGAAGTAACGTTTTAGCTTTGAATAACGACGGTCGTATTGTAGAGTTTTCTCAATTAATTCTTTTGAGTGAGAATTTCATTTTAATCGAGTTTTTTCATCAACTGACCGTTGAGTTGAAGAACCTTCAGAATGAATGGAATTTCATTCATTAAAGGTACTTAGATAATGCAGGTCAAATTATCGTCGTACTTTTGTTCTAAAAAAAGTATGACAAGAACGCAGAACCTAATTAATTAAATGTTTCTTGGGACAACCGATCAAACTCTTTCTACTTAAAACTTTAGCTCAGAGGAAATCTACTGCAAAATATTAATCGATCCTCGTGATAATTCATTGAGAATGTTAAGTCTACATTTTCTAATCTTGATTAATCTTGATTAATCTTGATCAATTAATCCAGAGGTGGTTAAAGGTTTTCATCGGATTAATATTTAATTTGTTATCAAAGATCTACGAAATATTTGTTAACATGGAAAATGATTTTTGTGAGAGCGTTTTTTCGAAGATGTAATATAGCTATTAGAAAATTTTTTCTCAACCAACAAATAATAACTTTAATATAGAACCATAATTCAAAAGTGAGTTAAGACAATTAATAATACGACAGAAAGACTAGTCGAGTTAGCGAATTGATAATTAGGCTGTGAGAATAAAAAATAATAATGTGCCGAAAATTACCTTGAGACTATCGGACATGGCAGAACGACTTATGTTGAAATAAAACTAGTACCATTTTTTTCGAATTTGTCTTTTAGTGCATATTATTTGCCTCATGAAACTCATCCAGACGTATTTATAATATATATAGGAATCTTTTTTTTTTTAATTGAAACCAATTATATAGTTTTTTTTATCATATCTTCTATTATCTCCTTCATCAATCAAGATGCATGTCAGTATCCATGTATGTGCACATGTATCTATAATATCTCATGCATATTATGTCCTGAGAATGTACTATGCATGTATGTACGAGTACAGATTTCAGACAGAGTAAGGATTTCACAAAAATTGTAATTATTACTATACTGCAGAGATTTATACATTTGCAGGAAATATAAGAATGCATAGTATTCACATGATATGCAAAAATACATAAAACATCTAAAACAAATCGCTCATTATAATTATTTGGTGGGTGGGAAAAAGTTTCTATACAAAACACATCTTTTTTCCAGCTACATCCATAAACATATAAAATTACATAAGAATACACAAACTAGCCGACACTTACAGTTCGATAGCAATTTACACAGTTCAGGTCGATTTTTCGTAATCGAATATTTCATTGGAATATTGCTACTTATGAATAATTTCATATAGAATATTTCGTTATTTTAAAACAATTTATACAATTTATAACAATAAATCGACATGTGCAAATTTAATAAATTTCGAACGAACGATGGACAAAACAATATATAGTTTCCACATTTTCTTACAGGTTGTGAAGATGTTTATCATCGTAGTTGTGATATTCGCCATCTGTTGGCTACCTTATCAAGGGTTTTTTTTTTTCCTTTATCACCACAAGCATTTGGCGGAAAATAGCAACATCCCACACGTTTATTTAAGTTTCTATTGGCTCGCCATGTCAAATGCCATGGTAAATCCTATCATATACTACTGGATGAACAATAGGTGAGTTTTATATCTGGATAATATCTTGTGCCTAAAAAAGGTACATTCTTAAGATGGTAAAGAAGATGAAAGCGAGGAAGTAAAAATGTTTCGTTAGTATGATGTTACACAGTATCGAAAATCGATATTCTATCGAAACATTGTTGAAACCGCCAAACGCATTGTTTGAGATGATGAGAGAGAATTAGGTAATTAAAAGTCAAAAGATGAATATTACAGCAGACATTAAATGCGTCTACAGTTGATGTGAAATATATTCGTACGCCGACTAGTTTCAAACAATTCTCCATAAAAAATCAGTTTAGTAAATAATTTTTATAAAACAATAGTATTCGCGCAAAACTTTTAGAATAGACACTATGCAGGAGATCGAATGTACTTGGAAGCATAACAGAAATCGTTCATGAATCGACTTAATTCACAGAGTTTACGAAAGAATCTATAACGCATGCACCACTCTTTAATAATAATTAATTATAACAGAGTATTTAAGAACGTTATGGACGCTAGCAATGCATAAAATTCCATTCAGTAAAAATTACCAATAAAGAACGTCATAAAAATGTGCAAAAACTTCAGCGCAGGAAAAGATTTACCTAGATTTGCATTATTAATGTAAAAGTTTACTTTTTTGAGAACTGCACCTAATAGATCCACCGCATGTATAATTCATAGGTATGGAATAAGGAAGACCGCAAAATATGATTCCGCAAATGAACATTCACAGAATATTCATTAACTTGGACAGGCTATTTATCATTCGAATGATAAAGTAAACTCTGAAGATGCCATAGAAATTAGAGATCTTAAAAATAACTTGGACGTTAATCCATGTAACATCTGTGCAGCTTTTTACAAAATCAAAGATATCATAATATGATGTACTTATACAAAATATTTTAAAAATAAAGCAAACAACAACAAAAATTTGGAATTTGCGCAAATAACAAATAACCAATCAAGCCACTACTCCTACTACAAGGATAGTTACAGAAGTCAGAAACGCAATTTACAGTTTAAGCTCCACTTTTTTTGTTCTACTTAATTGACACTTATGACAAAAATCAAGGGTATTCTGTACAATGGCATACATGTTTGTGATTCCTTTTCAAAATTTTTGGCTACGAACTTGATCCTTAAAAAATTCGGAGAATTTTTGTAACCTGATCTTATTTTGTATTTGTCCAGTGAGCATGTTCATATCTTTAGAGTATTAGTGTCTTGTTACGATTCTTAATACGTAACTTTTTAATGCGTAAAATATTCGACGGAATTCACTGATTAATTTTTTAAAAACAACCACGTACGTATATATGAATCACGTAGATTGTAAATTGATGTCTTTTGATTTTCTTACAGGTTTCGGCTCTATTTCCAACTAATAATATGCAAACGTACAAACTGCGACGATTCTCCAATGCATGACTTTGTAAAGCGAACAGATGTGATAACTTGTAACTCAAGTAAGCAATTATTGGATTATAGTATATTTTACACATAGTTGATTGCTTAAGATATCTGAGGGATATTTTGGTTAATTTTTAAATATCGATAACTAATAAATACGATCTCAAATGCAATATTTCAAACTTTTCATTCTCGTGATTTTGGCATTCGTTAGATTATGACTTTTGTTAGGAGACTTTCGCGCATTTGTTACAAGGTTGCGATAAATTTTTTTCTATCGAACTATTTATTTTATTATCGAACATGTCATTTAATGCATCATTACATTTTTATTTTGCGTATTTAGGAAGTTATTAGTTGATAATTTACAACGAACAATAAGATTTGCGTTTAATACTACAAGTATAAATTTGACTAATGAAACATAAATTTACTAATTTATTCTCAGGTCGTCCTAAATCCACTTCGATACGTTGGAAGCATAACATGGCAAAGACACAGATGCAAAATATACGAATGCGATCTATATGTATAAACGATCACAAACAAGACACAACTACCGTCTGATAAATAATATGTGAATAACATAATAAACAAATTTTGTTTGTGAATAGTAAAATCTTGTGATGATTGTAAGTATCGTAATAAATGTTAACTTATTATAACTCTGTCCTTGTTCTTGTACCTATCTAATACTATATAACGTAATACATTATAACGTAATTCTAAACAATGTAATACTATATAACATAATACATTATAACGTAATTCCAAACAATGTAATACTATATAATGTAATACATTATAACGTAATTCTAAATAACGCAATACTATATAACGTAATACATTATAACGTAATACTACATAACGTAATATTGGGTTGGCAACTAAGTGATTGGAGATTTTGTCATTACCACCTAATGTATATAGTATATATTATATAGTATTATATATATCGTGTATTAAATTTATTCGAAAGTATTCGAATAGTTTATTGGACAAAGTGATCGATCCAAACGGTGCATAGTTCATGACGGTGATTCCGCCGTCTGACGGTCACGTTCCACTGTTGCAGAGTTTTTCAGAGTTGGTCGGGGCTGTGTACGATATTTTGTGTAACTGGAAATTTAACGCAAAGGTACGTTGATCGCACATTGCGGCAAATACAGCGCGAACGGTAATTCTAATTATCTCATATTTAGTTATAGGTTATCGTATCGGCTTGTTCTCCTTTGTATAAATTGCCCTGCGAGCATGGATGGACGATGCATCTGGAGAAATGAACTGTGACGAATAACAACGAGCAGCAAGAGGATTAACAAGAGGAAGAAGGAAAAGAGCGTATAATCGTTGATAATGAGAAAATGTATTATCTGGTTGGTTGCGTACGAGTGTGGGAGAAAAAGTGTGAAACGAGGGAAATACAGGGAGAAGTATCTTGTAAATGTGTAAATAAGAAGCGCAAAAAAGATCGTTTGTAAATGTGAAACGTTTTGCGTAAAACAAGTAATGATAAGAGCGTAAAAATATAGGGTGAAAAGACGAGGTGTATAATAAAGATGCGTAAATAAAAATAAACGCGTTGCTAACTTGGGTGTATGAAAGGTGGAGCAGGAAAGGTAATAATTTGATGTTTGGTTGTTGATTCAGCATGGAAATTTGTTAAAACATGGGCTAGTTTCGTTAGAAAATTGTAAAATATGTAAAAAGATTGTAGACGTTAGATGCGCGAAAGTTGAAAGAAGTAAGAAAAGAAGGAAAAGAGAGTATAAAATGATAATAGGTAATACGTAAAGCAATATAATTTTCTGGATGGCAAAAGAATGGATTTGTTTGGATTCTAGGAGACTAAAGAATAAATAAAGATACATTTAGGAGATACTCGCGCGTTGTTTATTCGACTATTGATCATAAATTGTGAAAGTAGGCTTTAAAAAAATAAATGGCAGATAGAATAGGTTTTAAAGGTTAAGAATATGGTTGCGATAAGAAAGGTGTAATTGTAAAATGTATGGGTAATGGAATAAAATACCATTACGAAAGGTAGTAATTATATCTGGAAATATATTAACAAGGAAGAATACGAAAGTTATTAGAAATAAAATGGAACGGTATTATTAAATGTAGTGATTATATAGAATTATAGGAAATAGGGTGGTAATTACATCCTCGGTGTGAGTTTCGGTGAGAATTATAGTGCTTTACGGAGTCGGACAGGAAAGAAGAACGTTGGAAGAAGGTTTAGCGGAAGGGAATAGAGAGAAAGGAAATTGTTGAAAGGCGTAATGTTGTTCGAGAAAGGAAAGTTGGCACAGAAAGAAGAGAGAAATTTATAGGATTTGGTAAATTTAATAAGTGGTAAATGGGTGGCGAATGGAAGAAAGGGTAGAGAATAATAGGATGTAACTAAAATATTTTTATGATGAAAAGATAGAAGATAAAAGAGCGGTAATTGTGGAAAAAATGAATTAAACATCAATATAGGTTTAAGCAAGTAATACGTAAAGAGACCGGTTAGTTCCGCGGTAAGGTGTCGAACTCGCAACGTTTTGGCGGCGTGTTAGATTCTTGAGGCTGCGTGCGAAGCCCCGTTATTGTTGCGAGGGGCTCGTCTCTTCACCCTGGGGTTTCTTCCCCCCGGGTTGGTGTGTCCAAACCGGCTCGAGGTAATGAAAGCTACCCGATTTTGCTCCCGTAAGCAATTTTTGTTGTACGTTTGATAGGTGTGGGAAGGAAGAGAAGAAGAGTACCGCGTCTGGTCCAAGTAGGCATGGTATGCAGACAAGGTAAGGACACGAGCATTTATCGTACGACAGATTCAAATATAGAGGGAACATTACCGAATATTACAATTACAAATTACAAACTATATTAACTAAAACGAAGTAAGCAATTAAATGAATAATTTACCTAAAGCAATATATTAACATAATCTTATATTAGAAACAGAATTATAACACAGCATTAAAAATTCTAATTGCATCGGATTAGGCAGGGAAAAGAGATGTTATAGTGCAAACATTCTGATGTGCGCTGTATAAAGCATCAAATGTCGAGTACAACGCGCATCGAACTGTCCATCTATCCCGAAAAACAGCGGAGATTCGTTGAATTGAATTTTTAGCCTCGACCATTGAACAATATTAAAATTGCATCGGATTTGACAGGGGCCAGTATTGACACAGTGCAAACCTTCTGATGTGCGCTGTATAAAGCATCGAATGTCGGATACAACGGGCTTCGAACTATCCATCTAACCCGAAAAACAGCGAACATTCGTTGAATTGAATTTTTAGCCTCGAGCATTGAAAAAAATTAAAATTGCACCGGATTTGACAGGGACCAGTGTTGACACAGTGCAAACCTTCTGATGTGCGCTGTGTAAAATCGCAAATGTGGAGTACAATGCTCATCGAATTGTTTAATTTGTCCAATAGCAGCGGAGATGCGTTCGGTTGCATATTTAATCTTCAATAATGAAAACTGTGGTTGCATTGGATTTGAATTAATCTATATGTCGGAGATGAGAGGACACCGGAGACCTTCCCTCTGGAACTTCGGAAAATCCGTAAAATTGTAACTAAAGTTTACAGCTGTAATTAAGCGATTTGCTATCATTGTACTTGTTTGCGATTTGTGATAATAAACTTGGGCTCGGGGCGACAGAGCGTGGACTCGAGGCGACAGTCAGTCACCGAACGTAGCCGCGGTCACGGGATGAACGCTTTGTCTAACAAAGGCATGGAGTAATTCTATAGCTCTCTTTAAAAAGGAAATAGTTGTAACACTCGACAGTAAACATTCCAACGGTCTCTGTCCCGTAGCTCGCCACACGCAGACCCTATTCGATATAATATAACGCTTAATATGAATTTTATCTATCTGATTACCTTAACTAATTTCATAGCAACGTCATCGACCGCTGTTAGGCTCTTTTCCCTTTTAGTTCAAACTAATTGATAGTCGAAAACTAGTATGAAGGAGGTGTGAATTTAGTCTTAGTTTGTAGAAAACATTAAAATGATAAAAATGGATATCGTATTAAATCGTTAAAGGTGCCAATTTACGATAAAAATTAAGAAATCGTTCAATTTGATTTTGTTATAATGGAAAAACCGTCTCCTGCTAAGTCAAAAAATCGTTACCGTTTGATTAACAAACCTTGTCAAGGACACCTTGTCAAGGTATATAAGGAACACGGAAGTCGCGCGCGAGCTCTTTTGTGCCTGGAATTCCGGAGAGTGAACATCGAAGAAGAATTTAAATATAAGGTAAATAAAACAAAAAATATCAAATAGCAACATTGCAACTAGCAATTTACAACGTCTAAACCATTAATTTACAACACTTAAGTTATTAATTTATAACATTTAAGCCATTAATTTATAACATTTAAGGAATTAATTTATAACGCCAAAACTATTAATTTATAACATTTAAGCTGCTAATTCACAACATCCAAGCTACTAATTTACAATATTTAAACTATTAATTTATAACATTTAAGCTATTAATTTACAGCATCTAAGCCATTAATTTACAACATTTAAACTGTTATTTTATACATTTATGCTATTAATTTATAACATTGAATGTATTAATTTATAACATTTAAGCCATTAATTTGTAACTTTTAAACTATTAATTTATAACATTTAAGCTATTAATTTGTGACGTCTAGGTCATTAATTTACAACATTTATACTGTTATTGTATACATTTATGCTATTAATTTATAACATTTAAGCTATTAATTTTTAACGTCTAGGCCATTAATTTGTAATTTTTAAACTGTTATTTTATACATTTAGCCATTAATTTATAACATTTAAACCATTAATTTATATCATCTGAGCCATTAATTTATAACATTTGAGCCATTAATTTATAACATTTAAGGAATTAATTTATAACGTCAAAACTATTAATTTATAACATTTAAGACATTAATTTATAACATTTAAGCTATTAATTTACAACATATAAGCCACTCATTTACAACATTTAAACTGTTAGTTTATACATTTAAGCCATTAATTTATAACATTTAAGGAATTAATTTATAACGTCAAAACAATTAATTTATAACATTTATGCTATTGATTTATAACATTTAAGCAATTAATTTATAACATTTATGCTATTAATTTACAACATCTAAGCCATTAATCTACAACATTTAAACTGTTATTTTATACATTTAAGCCATTAATATATAACATTTAAG